TCTTTACACAGTGTGGCTCTAATTCCTCACTTCACCATCTGTGTCGCAGTTTCACGTCTCCAAAATGAGCGTACGCATGGGTCAAAGTCGGCGTGAGGCACCGCACATTTTCACGTCAAGTTTGGATTTTATAAATCACAACCTTGGCGTAAAAAGTGGCGTACGCAAGTTTCTGGGCTCATTTTGTGCATACGCCAGTTTTATAAATCTGACCCCTGGTCCTTAGGGCCACTGTCCTGCATGTTTTAGAAGTTCCTCTGCTCCAAAAACCTGGTTTGATTAAATGGCTGATTTACAGGCTTCTGCAGAACACGAAGAGGTAATTCAATCACTGGAAGGAAAACATGCAGGATTGGACACCCTGGATATAAAAGTTTCTCATCTGTATTAGCAAAAGATGATTAAATGCCCATTTTTTATTATCTTTTTAAACTTAGTTTTTTTTTTTAAATTACAGGAAATATTTCAGTGAACACTACTTTTTCTGTTTGTGTAATTTCTACATTTGTTTTACTTTCTTTTAGTCATCACTCCTCCAAAAACTATTCTGAATGACTCTTCAGCCACATTGTTAGAGGTAAGGTTAATAATCACTCTTAAAACTGTGAGAAAACAAAGGTTTCAATGCAGCGCCCCACAATTCTCAGTGTTCATGTTCACCACAACTGTACTCTAGGCTGTGCACATTGTTGCCCACCTCTGCGGACACACACCTCAGCAGCCGCCACAAAGCTGTTGTATGAGGAAGGGGAGATTTAGACTAGTTTTTCAGTAAACTGTTATGATTATTGCTGTTTTTAGAGCTCCTGTGTTTTCAGACATTTTGGAAACTCTCTTCTGAATTCCATTTGATGACTAAATACAATAAGCGTCACTAAAAGTTGATTTTAAAACGTCTTATTCCTTTAAAAAGAAAAACTGAATTAATCTCCAACAACTACAAAACTTAGATTTTGGTTTTCCTCAGCAGGCACACATGCGAAGTGTAAAACATCTCGGCTGGTTTGTGTCTCCTCTTCAAAGCCCCTTTACACCCGCCCCCCTTTTATTTTTTTAGTTGTTGCTTTTTACGCACACTTGTTCCAACACACACCCCCCACCTCCCCGTCTCCACTGTCCTTGACCCCAGCTGGGCTTGATTTTTCCCAGACTGGCACATGGGGTTAATACAGGCCTCGCTTTGATCTTCACACACGGAGCAGTGGGCAGCCAGGATGCTTTGTTGCCTTTGACTTTACAGAGGCTGAACTCAAAGCAGTAAAAGAGATACTTATTTATTAAGCGTATCTTTTCTTTTAGTTTTTGACACAATATTTTAGAATAAGCAAGAACAGCAGCTCCAAGTCACTCAGAGCAGTAGTGGGGAGGGCGAGAAAGTTGTTTGAAGTTTTATCATGGATTGAAGATGGAGTCCTTCCTCAAACGATAACAATCCTGAAAGCCATAAAAGCTCACTTTGAAACGTGCCTTTGTTTGTGTGTCTCTCTGCTGACAGTCGTTTTCAGTCCAATCAGATATTCGGATGTTTGTTGTCCTTGTCTCTTCTTTTTTTTCATTGTCTTCCTGCCTGGTTTTCACTGCTTCTCCCTCTCCTGCACCCCACGACTCCAATTTTTTGTGTTCCCGCCGCCTCCAGCGCCCAGATGATCTCCCTCTCCTGTGCCTCACCCCTCCTCTCACCCCCATGTCTCTATCCATTAGAGACTTAAAAGCCTTAAAGTGCACAAAAACACACACAAAAAAATAATCCCCTCGGTGTCACTTCACACTCTCACATTCTGTCTGGCTCCGTTTAAATGTCTTTACATCAATCTTTAAGCCAAAAGGACATGCAAGGAATCTTTAATCTTATTTTTTTCTGTCATGTCACGCAGACGTGGCTGCTTGTGTCTTTTTCTCACGCACGCAGACACACACACGCAAACTTTAATCACTTTGTGTCATGTCAGGAAAGGAATGTTTCCCAACCCAGAGAAGCCCTTTGATACCAGGCGTCCCCTCCCTCATCCGTCTTCCATCAGGATCCGCTCAGCCTCTTTCTCTTGCTCCCTTTTATGTTTTAACACGCTCTCTCTTTCCCCGGTCTCGTCCCGTCGGCCCGCCTTATCCCGGGTGTTGCTGCTGAAGGGAACAGGATAGCAGGAATGCCCGTTGTTCCACTGTAACACATTGTTTCCTGCTTGCAGGGCTCCAACGAGAGCAATTAGGCTGGCGTGTCCCAATTTAGCAACCAGCCACACAAAGGACAGAGTAAGGACAGCGTGAGTGTGAGACGGGCTGTAGATTCATCCGACACCGGCAGCAACCTGTTCTGTTAGGCTGGCTGTTAAAGCTTGTGTCTGTGGAAAAATACTTTTACATTCCACAAACATGGGTTTATTGGAACAGTTTCTATTAAGGGATATTTGGATTCACACTCTTTGTATCTTCAGGAAGACAGAACCAAATCAGCTTTTTCTTTTTAGTCAGAATCTAAAAAGCTAAATGATTTTCCTCAGTTGCTCATAATCTGCTCGTACACATAAATAATAAGTTATTTAAAAATGTGCAGACTGATCAGTTGCTTTATATTTTGAGCTTAAAGCTCATAGAAAACAAGAAACAAGATGACTGCTTACAAGGCACAGTATGGGATCAATCTTGTACCAGCAGGAACTGACTTTGAATTGCTCAGATTGAATCTGAATGTGCAGAATTAGAAATTGAATGCATTGGTTTGAAAATAAATTTCACTAAATTGAAACTGAATTTAAAGTTTTGAATTTGAACTAATTTGCTTCAAAACTGTATTTTGGTTTATTAAAAATTCATTTTGACTACTTTCACTTTCAGTTCCATAATTCAGATTTTTGTGTCACATCCTGGTCCTTMYGAAAGCCAGGCAGAGTAATCAAACACAGATCCACAGATTTATGTTTCACTTTGGTGAAGTTTCCCTTCTGTAATGTAACAGAGTTGATGCAATCC